AGGATGCCTCGACAACGTGATGATTAACAAAAAGGATACCTAGACAACGTTATTATTAACACAAAGGATACCTACACAACGTGATGATTAACACAGAGAATACCAAGACAACGTGATGATTAACACAAAGAATACCTAGACAAAGTGATGATTAACACAAAGGAGACCTAGACAACGTGATGATTAACACAAAGGATACCTAGACAACGTGATGATTAACACAAAGAATACAAAGACAACGTGATGATTAACACAAAGGAGACCTAGAAAAAAAAACCCTGAAAATTTACACAAAGGAGACCTAGCAAAACTGACAATTTACACAAAGGATATCCAGAAAAAGTGATGATAAACACAACGGTATGTTTAGTTAAAATATATACCTACTTTTACGTGTGTACCGTATGCATCTGATGCATATACACGTTTAAAAGTCAACCCGACTGCTCAAAACAAAGATTATATCATCTCCATTTTTATATATGAACGATTTGTCGATATCAATCAAGATTCTCACCGAAATAGAAAGATAGATGCATGTAACGCTCGTTAAGAAGGTTTATGAAGATTTCCAAACTGAGTGATGACGACATACATGTAGAGGGCGGATAAAGTCTTCATCACTGAGGGATGATAACATACATATAGAGGGCGGATACAGTCTTCATCACTGAGGGATGACAACATACATGTAGAGGGCGGATAAAGTCTTCATCACTGAGGGATGACGACATACATGTAGAAGGCGGATAAAGACTTCATCACTGAGGGATTATAACATACATATAGAGGGAAGGTGAAGGCTTCATCATTGATGGATGATAACATCCATATAGAGGGAAGGTGAAGACTCCATCACTGAGGGATGACAACATCCATATAGAGGGAAGGTGAAGACTTCATCACTGAGGGCTGATAACATACATATAGAGGGAAGGCGAAGACTTCATCACTGAGGGATTATAACATACATATAGAGGGAAGGCGAAGACTTCATCACTGAGGGATTATAACATACATATAGAGGGAAGGTGAAGGCTTCATCATTGATGGATGATAACATACATATAGAGGGAAGGTGAAGACTCCATCACTGAGGGATGACAACATCCATATAGAGGGAAGGTGAAGACTTCATCACTGAGGGCTGATAACATACATATAGAGGGAAGGTGAAGACCTCATCACTGAGGGCTGATAACATACATATAGAGGGAAGGCGAAGACTTCATCACTGAGGGATGGGAAGGTGAAGACTTCATCTCTGAGGGCTGATAACATCCATATAGAGGGAAGGGGAAGGCTTCATCATTGATGGATGATAACATACATATAGAGGGAAGGTGAAGACTCCATCACTGAGGGATGACAACATAATATAGAGGGAAGGTGAAGACTTCATCACTGAGGGATGATAACATACATGTAGAGGGCGGATAAAGTTTTCATCACTAAGGGATGACGACATACATGTAGAGGGCGGATAAAGACTTCATCACTGAGGGATTATAACATACATATAGAGGGACGGTGAAGACTTCATCACTGAGGGCTGACAACATACATATAGAGGGAAGGTGAAGACTTCATCACTGAGGGCTGACAACATACATATAGAGGGAAGGTGAAGACTTCATCACTGAGGGCTGATAACATACATATAGATGGAAGGCGAAGACTTCATCACTGAGGGATTATAACATACATATAAAGGGAAGGTGAAGGCTTCATCATTGATGGATGATAACATACATATAGAGGGAAGGTGAAAACTTCATCACTGAGGGATGATAACATACATATAAAGGGAAGGTGATGACTTCATCACTGAGGGATTATAACATACATATAGAGGGAAGGTGAAGACTTCATCACTGAGGGATGACAACATACATATAGAGGGAAGGTGAAGATTTCATCACTGAGGGATGACAACATACATATTTAGAGGGAAGGCGAAGACTTCATCACTGAGGGATTATAACATACATATAGAGGGAAGGTGAAGACTTCATCACTGAGGGATGATAACATACATATAGAGGGAAGGTGAAGGCTTCATCACTGAGGGATGATAACATACATATAAAGGGAAGGTGATGACTTCATCACTGAGGGATTATAACATACATATAGAGGGAAGGTGAAGACTTCATCACTGAGGGATGATAACATACATATAGAGGGAAGGCGAAGACTTCATCACTAAGGGATGACAACATACATATAGAGGGAAGGCGAAAACTTCTTCCCTGAGGGATGACAACATACATATAGAGGGAAGGTGAAGACTCCATCACTGAGGGATGCCAACATACATATAGAGGGAAGGTGAAGGCTCCATCACTGAGGGATGACAACATACATATAGAGGGAAGGTGAAGACTTCATCATTGATGGATGATAACATACATCAAGAGGGAAGGCGAAGACTTCATCACTGAGGGGTGACAACATAAGGTGAAGATGAAGACAGGTAAAAACTGACCACTACTTTATAATGTTATTTTTATGTAAAACGCTACATTAAAACTACCATGAGAAAAAATTACAAGTAGCCCATAAGGTCGAAGCCTGGTAAATTTAACAAAAGGCAGGCCACGAGAAAGTTTGTCTGAATAATCAGATCTGTTACCTGTCATGAGGTTATTTTTCTTTGGGGAATCACGTTTAATTCCACAGTAAAATTTCATTTTAAAGCAACCAGCAGACTATGCAGGTAAGCAATTCTAACTGTTTGATCGGAGGAAACTGTAGTCAAATGAAACATGGTGTCAGCGTCTCCAAGTTAGGCAATTAGCTATTGGCAAACAAATTAGGAGACCCAGGGTCATCTTTGAGAGTGATAGTGATGACGTATAACTTACATCGGTGGTGTATATTTGATTATCAGGATAAGTGGTGACACGACAACTCGGCATTTTCCCCCACTCCCCACCATTTTAGATTCGGCGCTTATCAACAACGCGTAGTGATTAAAATAAGTAATTAAATAATTTGATTATGAGGTTTTACAGTTTATCAAAATATCTTCTAAGAGGACTATACTTTGTCGTAAAAGCTTTTCTAGACATGCTATTGGGAAAATGATGCAGATCAAGTATTGTGAGCTTGATGTGTCACTTTTTGTAACAAAATGTAATAAACAGAATATCTGACAGTGTCTTCAATAATACCGACATATTTCACTCGTCTTGCTGCGCACTCGTGATATATATAAATATTAGCCACACCCGTGAAATATATTTGGGATTACTAAAGACACTGTTAGAAATCTTCTATATATATTTACACACATGTCACTACTTTACAGGGCTATTTAAATGTACAGACATGCCACTACTATATCATTTTACATATAAATACAACCATACCACTACTTTATAATGTTATATATATGTACGAGCATACCACTACTTTATAATGTTATATATATATACAAACATACCATTACTTTATAATGTTAGTTAAATGTTCAAACGTATTTTATTTTCTAGGAGTATGTCCGGTAAATATCAAATATTTTATACGACTTTATATTTTTCCGATTGTAAAATCAAAATCCTAAAGTATGAACAAATATCCCAAGAAGTACTTGAACTCCTATAGAAATAGCTGATAAATATCCTTATTAACGTGATGATGTCCTGATGTAACCCTTACATTACCTACCTTGACATAACCCGGTCATAATTCCGCAATAGAAACACATAAACACACGCCATAGACAAGTTCTCTGTAAAGAGTTCATCTTTACATTAGCAAAAGCACCAATCACACAAGCGTTATGCAGTAACGTTACGATACGGCAGGGATGTTCCTGTCCAGGACCATGTTGCTACTAGCTGTCTTATGGATTGACACTACAACAAACTCTGCTGAACGCTTAGCTGTCTGGACTAATCAACTTCCTGGTAAATGTCCATATATAGCAACATCCTCAAATACACAGAAATTGTGTTAGTCTGGGTATAATATAGCTAATAAAGGCAAGTATTTTCGTCATTGAACGACGACGCTGTTGTGACATCCGTTAACGAGAACGAGGAAGTCAAATTTGGGGTTTCTCACCAAAGCACATAAGGATACATGTGATTTGTTTTTTTTGCACCCAATTGTTTTTTTCCAGTTGACTAATAGGTAAGCTTCGTACGTAAATAACTCCAGAAAGGCATTAGTATTAAGTTGTATCATATCTTAAACAAATTGCTGGACATCGGTGGCTGATGCACACTGCTTCTGTTGCACGTACCATCAATTAATAATTGAATATATAACATAATAACTGGTTAGCAAGAACATGTTACTGCAGCAAAAGTGTTGGGGTTTGTAGCGCAATATTGTTTGTTGCAATCTTATTTACCAGACAAATTGGACATTGATTGTAATATTTCACTATTTCAGTTAAGTTTGACCGGACAAACCTATTTTTGGAAAGCAAAAAATATATATAAGTATTTGTGGTTATTTTGAGCTAGCACCACTAAAAGGTAGGATGAGCTGTATGCGATAGAGCATACTAAATTAACCTAACATTAGCATACGTTTGGTTGGTATATCAAGCATAGCATTGATAGAGCTGACTCTTAGTATATGTGTAACTAACGATCTGTTAACGGCGCCTCAATCGTGAAGTGAGTAGATATCAGAGTGAGGTATTGATACTGTACCTGTGAAATTGATGGATTTTATACATAATTTGTAAATTTCGTTAATCGAGCTCAAGGTATAAATTTTGCTCAGTCAAGCAATGGTGTTTTACGTTTGTGTAACAAGGATCAATATTAACAAATGTGATACATAGACCTGAACATTAAACTATCGTTGTTAACTGAAAATAAAAAAACCCAGTTGTTTTCAAGTATATCTTATACCATAAACTAAACAAGGAAGGAATAAGTAGTTAGAAGATAGATAGTAATAGAGGAAATGAGGGACTAATATCACGTGGAAATTGATGTCAGTTTCTTTCTCAAAGCTTTTACTACTTCCAAGCTTACCTTCGGTGTTGACACTTGCTATCAGGATGACTACCAACCCGCTATACAGCAACATTGTTACAACTCAAAACCTGTATAAACCGTCGAAAACTAAGGTAACCGGTCACACACTTATGGCCGCTTCTATAGACACATATAAACTGTCAAATGTCCGTTTGACGGCTACCAAGGACACAGCTCAACTGTCCATTCTCCCCTTGTCGATTACAATTGAAACGAATCAACTGTCCACTGTATATATATGGCAACTACAGTGCCAGATCAGCTGTCCAATGTATATATATGGTAACTGCAGTGCCAGATCAACTCTCCAATAATCTTGATGGCTACTATGGATAAAGCTCAACAATTCAATGTCTTTGTAACGGTTACTGTAGACACAAGTCAACCGCCCAATGTCCTTTTCGTGGCGCTAATGACGTCACAGCTCAACTGTCCTATGTCTCTCTGACGGTTACTGTAGTGACACCCACCTATTCAATATACTTATGGCAGATGTTTTGACAATTAAATGCGTCGTCTTTGCCGGTACTTGTGTATTAATTGGTAGATGTGTATTGCGTTTGTTGAAGAAATACTTGTGCTACAATGAGTGGAGCTCTTGATAGTCTACTTATACATTTGTACCAATGGTGCAATTGTTGGGTTCTGTCTCGCTGTCATGCTAGACCGTAATTATTGGAACATAGACGGAATCCTTGATCCAAAGGACGTTGGTTTTACTGTTCTGTCATGAAAAAGTGCAATATGATGTATTCTTTATTGTACAAACTACCAACGCACGTTTTATCCATTTATTTCACCATGTTTTTGAATTAAACAATCTTATTCGGGATTAATTACATGCATTAATAATTGAGGAAGCGTTTTGGATAGTCATTGGTATATGAAACGAAACAACAATGTACAATTTTGTATCAGAATTTATGCACTTATACACTTTGTAAATTTGTTTCATACTGCAGACCCCAATGACTATCAAAACAGCTCCTATTATTTCCTTATGCAGTTCTGTTGACATATGAAAGCCGTTCCGGGAGAATACTAAATGACACGCAGACATGTTATTCAAACTCAAAATTTATAAAACAGGTAGAAATATGAAAAAAATAAAAATTAACACCAGAGACATTTTAAAATAATGTAGGGGTAATTAAATCTGGTTTCTCTGGTAAAGTATAAATACCTTCTTCTTCTTCTTCTTCTTCTTCTACTTCTTCTGCTTCTTCCTCTTCTTCTTCTTCTTCTTCTTCTTCTTCTTTTTCTTCTTCTTCTTCTTCTACTTCTTCTTCCTCTTTTCTCCTTCTTCTTTTTCGACTTCTTCTTCTTCTTCTTCTTCTTCTTCTTCTTCTTCTTCTTCTTCTTCTTCTTCTTCTTCTTCTTCTTCTTCTTCTTCTTCTTCTTCTTCTTCTTCTTCTTCTTCTTCTTCTTCTTCTTCTTCTTCTTCTTCTTCTTCTTCTTCTTCTTCTTCTTCTTCTTCTTCTTCTTCTTCTTCTTCTTCTTCTTCTTCTTCTTCTTCTTCTTCTTCTTCTTCTTCTTCTTCTTCTTCTTCTTCTTCTTCTTCTTCTTCTTCTTCTTCTTCTTCTTCTTCTTCTTCTTCTTCTTCTTCTTCTTCTTCTTCTTCTTCTTCTTCTTCTTCTTCTTCTTCTTCTTCTTCTTCTTCTTCTTCTTCTTCTTCTTCTTCTTCTTCTTCTTCTTCTTCTTCTTCTTCTTCTTCTTCTTCTTCTTCTTCTTCTTCTTCTTCTTCTTCTTCTTCTTCTTCTTCTTCTTCTTCTTCTTCTTCTTCTTCTTCTTCTTCTTCTTCTTCTTCTTCTTCTTCTTCTTCTTCTTCTTCTTCTTCTTCTTCTTCTTCTTCTTCTTCTTCTTCTTCTTCTTCTTCTTCTTCTTCTTCTTCTTCTTCTTCTTCTTCTTCTTCTTCTTCTTCTTCTTCTTCTTCTTCTTCTTCTTCTTCTTCTTCTTCTTCTTCTTCTTCTTCTTCTTCTTCTTCTTCTTCTTCTTCTTCTTCTTCTTCTTCTTCTTCTTCTTCTTCTTCTTCTTCTTCTTCTTCTTCTTCTTCTTCTTCTTCTTCTTCTTCTTCTTCTTCTTCTTCTTCTTCTTCTTCTTCTTCTTCTTCTTCTTCTTCTTCTTCTTCTTCTTCTTCTTCTTCTTCTTCTTCTTCTTCTTCTTCTTCTTCTTCTTCTTCTTCTTCTTCTTCTTCTTCTTCTTCTTCTTCTTCTTCTTCTTCTTCTTCTTCTTCTTCTTCTTCTTCTTCTTCTTCTTCTTCTTCTTCTTCTTCTTCTTCTTCTTCTTCTTCTTCTTCTTCTTCTTCTTCTTCTTCTTCTTCTTCTTCTTCTTCTTCTTCTTCTTCTTCTACGAAGGCATCCGGCGTTTAAATCTAGGAAGAAGTCACACTATTGAGTTGTCATGCAGTCGTACAGATGTCTAATGTCCAGCTACCATGGACACATCTTTCTTCACTCAAAAGAGATGTAACCGTAGTCATTCATATCGATATCAAAACAGTCAAGCAGAACATTATATTCCGTTTGTAGACATAATGGTAACCTCAGGAACCATTGGATGTCTACCGTGTTCCAACAACATTTCTGCCTTCCCCTGTCTTTATTACGAACAAAACCTTGTCACTTCTCAAATTCAGTTTAATCTACCAGACCTTCTGATTTTCATACCTCAAAGCAATCTGAAAGAACGCCTAAGTTCTTTAAAAATGAAATACTTCTTTTAGGTGGTCTGAATCTCCACCGGGGTGTTGGCATTCCTAATTGAACAAGCTGTACCTCTCTCCCGGACATTTTGTGATTTGGTTTCAAACGAGGCTGAGTTTATGATGAGCTTATCAGGACTGGTAACAAAAACCAAACAAAGTCCTTTGTTTTTACAGTCAGATTGAGATTTATCGACGATGTGCTGTCTATAAAATGCCTGTGAACCTTTTATATTGTTGAAAATCTACAGGTTTTGACTATGACATACATGTCATTATAACAGGACCATTTCTAAGACAACATTATGACTTTGTCTTGCCTTGACCGTTACTACGAAATAAGGACACACATTTAAGAAAATAATCGGCTGAGATAGCCAAATAACGAAAATAATAATTACCGTCACCTTGCTAAGAAAAATCAGAATATATAAATAAAAAAATAAATAAACGAAAAATGTTTAAAACTATAATCATACATATACACTCCTCACTAAGTTATATTCAGTTCATTAATTTGTTACAGTGATGTGTCTTTAAAAAGGAGGCGACAGTTTGTAGACATTGCAGCAAAGGTTATTTTAGTTTTTTTCTTCTTTATTAGATATGTACATGTTCCGTCTTTTCCTACTGCAGAGTTATCTACTCTTGTGAGCATGTATTGATCGTTACGTCATTGGTTTGTGAGAGTAACGTCATCAATTTTTTAAAAAAACGACGTATCTTTCTCACACAAACCAATGATGTAACAATCAATACCTGCTCACAATAGAAGATAACTCTGCAATACGCAAAGACAGATATTAAACATACATCAAAGCATTTGCTCTCATTTAGATAATAACTGAGATAGCGCATTCTATGTCATTGAAGTGAAAGCTATAAAAGTACGCACTTAACGTGCCCTCCATCATATTGAGGGAGCAAAAGAGTAAGGTTGTAAAATATCAACAGATCATATAGCCTTAACCAGCAAGTCATAGAATACAGTCCTGATAACGGCTTGGGCGGTCATAGTCACATTTACAGTTACGTCGCTAGGGTGGTGAACTAGCTCTCGTCGTCCGGTAAATATGGATTGCTTCCTTGTTTTATGATAACAAGAAGCGATCTTGATTTTGACTAGGGCGGTCACTATCACTTTTCAAAATTATGGCGCTAGGATTGTGAGATAGCTTTCGGCATCCGGTGTGCGTGACTTTCTTCCTTGTTTTGTCTAACAAGTAGCCATTATAACACACTGGCAGTAAAGACTCTCGCATATCTATGACGAAGTATTAAACAAAGCGTAGCCGAATCGAGTCATTTCGGTACATGTATAACAACTATTGTACATACGCTTACAGGGTAAGCGTCTCTTGATTCATCGACAACACTCGCGGTGTAAATTTAGGTTAAATCCAAGTAGTGTTACGACATCATATCGAGAACAAGGCAAGTGACAACTTAATAGCCAAAGCACACTAAGGAGCATAGTATTTTTTTTTTTGTATCAAACAAAGAAATAGCATACATAAAGGCAACTATTTCTTCCCCTTCTTACTTACTTAATTATCTCTTTGTAATAGATATATTTGTTTATAGCTTTTAATAAAAAATATAATGTTTTGGCTAAATATCAAACCCGTGTGGTGTGTTAGTACCAAACTGTTTCTATAAGTAACTATGTAAAGTGTATATTTATGTATACAGTTTCCTGTTTCTGTGCCCAGTCACGACAACTCTGGATAATTAAGCTCATCCGATATCACTTTAAACAATAGCTACACACTTGAATCCTTCACGTGACGAATCAAGAGGGATTGAAAACACAAAATATCATGGTACGTGATTGTCTGTTTCCCTTCCCTCTCCCGGAACTAGCTTACACATACTGAATCCCACCTTCTATACACTTGTAGCACGTCAAAGTATTATTCACGGATGTTATGAAATTAGGGCTGGCCCTTTACATTCTACTCATCACAGGGCTAAGATGTAGCAAAACTCCCCCAGTCACTATATTACTGCTTATTCACACGCCAACCAGCCCGTCTGTCCGGACGTACGCACGACGTTCACACACACACACTCAGCAATGGAAGCACGTACACCACCTCCCTCTCCTCCACACGTTGTTCCTATGCCCTTATACAGTATTTCAAACTCCTTTTCGGGTATCACGCGGCAATCGTAACCGTTTACCTGTCGTTAATGTTAGGTTTGCTAATATACCTTTTTGTGCTTCTCGTACGTATGACGTCTGACGTCTCCTTTGTATTCTTTTATCAAAGACTTTCTATATTTGTTTTAAGGAAATGGACATATAATTTATTTGTGATCGATGGGGAAAACAGATGCCTTTATGAAAAATCTTCTATTACAGGTACATGTATCAGTTAGTTTCGATTACAGAAAAAGCTCTATTCCACTTTGAGATGAATAAATCAGCATTTTTACCAAATCAGTGATTGTGCGGAGATAAGATAATGTATATATACATGTACTCATAACAAGAAATATTCAAAAATTCAAACATAGAAGCAACGACCACACTATGAATTACACAACAATTGCCAGCTACCCTAAGTGGGGTTACCCAAACCACCTCACAAAAGCACTTCTGAGTGCAGCATTCAGAAAGTCTTCCCCACTGGGGATAAGATAATACATATCTATATGAGGCATACTGAATAGTCCTTAATGAGAAGGGTTAGGTTGGTACAGTATGGGGAACTTTACTTTGGATGATTTAG